TTTAATAGTATTTTAAATAATATATTAAATACTTTTTATTGCTCACTGCTCACTAGTATCCAACAAACAAAAAATCATTTTGCTTTGGACGGTGGCTGAAAACATTTTACAGAGAAAACATTCTACAGAGCCAGATTTCCCATATCTCCAAAGGATCAAATGAGGGGCAATCTCTCCTCTTCTCTCTCTATCTCGACAAAATCTCTTTATCCCTTCTATATCTCTCCGTTCACCCCCTTTCCCTCTCCCGTCGGCACAACCTCCTCTTTCTCCTCGACCCAAATCCGGCGAGCCAACTCCGTTGTCACCAGATCCGGCAAGCCAACTCCGCAACGCCTAAATCTGACGAGCCAAGCTTTGCCACTCCCAGATCCCGACGAGCCCAGCTCTGCCACGTCCAGATCTTGAAGAGCCTAGGCCCTAATCATGTCGCAATCGCGCCAAATCCAATTGGAATTTCGGATTTAGTCGCATCAAGAGAGAGAGTTTTCTTGAAGATTTACCATTTTCATTTGTTTGGTTTTGTTGATCTTGATCTGTTGATTAATTTCCCGTTTGATCTTGATCTGTTTGGTTTTGATGATCTGGTTACTTAAATTAATGTTAGAGAAAGGAGAGGCGGGTGGTGGGAAATCTGTTTTCAGAAAACGAAAACGAGAAAATGAAAACATCTTTTTTACGTTTTTAGAATTTCACAAAACGACAAAAACGGTTTTGTTTTTGTTTTTTAGAAAAACTTTCACCAAATGCGTTTTACAAACGCGTTTTCAATTTTTTGCTTCGAAAAACGTGAAAAATGAGATTGAAAATGGTAACAAATAGGCCCACTGGTCGCTTTAGAATTGATCCCGTTTTTTTTACGTTTTTCAAGAAAGTAAAAATGAAAATATTTTTAAAACGGCGTTTGGCGCAAGCAATAAAGATAAAAAACAGAAGTGAAAACGATTTTTTGGTTTAGTGTAAAAATGAGAGAGAAATGAAAAACGACTATTAGTCGTTTTTTATTTTTTGTTTTTGTTTTTTCCTCTCTTGAGTAGAAAGAGAGAGATAGAGACATTAATGAGTTTTTTTATATTGAAAACAATCTCTTGATAAAATCACCAAACGCATTTTTAAAAATGATTTCTGTCTGAGATTGAAAACGTTTTCATTTTCATTTACATACAAAAAACAAAATTATTTTAGAATGAATTCCAAACGCGCTTCCTAATTCCACACCCCATTAAGTTTCCAGAATGCATACGCAAGTTGAAGGATTGTGCACACCAAGTTAGCACCAAGGCTCAAATGTAAAAGGACCTTACCTATCCTCAAAAGGAAGATTTAGTGTTAAGCTGTACCTTGATCTTCTAATGTTACGTAATCTGCATTTTCTACCAAGTAATACTAGGGCCACCAATTTGTATGAGTCTATCAATGAGTCCAATTTTAGTGAAGTCAAGGACGGATCCCTGCTTCACAGTTTTAGGTCACCAGCTTTTGGGTGTTCTTTGTTTCTGTCGTTAATTGTGGTTCAATACCAAAAAAAGATAAATATAAGTGCCTACTAATTGATGCAAACTTTTGCTTTTGTTGCTTGCAGGTAACTAGTTTGCTACCTCAGCTGGTCAAGTTTTGGTACAGAATTGTGTACTTCAACGGAGGGAAAAGGAGGTAGTATATATTTGAAGAGAGGACTGTGTTTTCAACCTTTGTTTTGTGCTCTTCAGCTGCCTCTCCAATATTTCTTTTATTTCCTTTTATACGAAGTCCATTCATTTCTAGCTATCGCCATAACTATTTTTTGTCAGTTCTAATTCTTTAACTCCAAAAAAAGTGCTTGGTGATACTGCCTATGAATAAAACTCTGTTAATACTTAATTGGTTCCGTTACCAATTTAAACTTCCATAAGTTTCCCTAACTTGCTCTTGCATTGCTATTGATAACACGGCCAACCCAAATTGTGGTTTATCCACAAGAAAGACTATTGCAACACTGCACTTTTTTCTCTTAATTGACATTCATTCCAGAACATTTTGAGGGGAAAAAAGAAAAAAAAAAAAACTTTAAGAGTTAAACAAACTCTAGGACTGAAGAATTAGAGAAAGAAAGTTAGTTTCTGAAAACATAAAAACCCCATTTGCGTGTACAAAATTCTCGATAAAAAAATAAAAATAATAAAATAAAAAGATTCAAACATTCCATTTTTTTGCTCTGGTTCTACACCTATGTTCCCCCAAGTCCCAACCATCATTCAACTCCTTAATATTTCATGATTCCCATTCTGCCCTCCATTTGTCCACGCAACAGAGCACAAAGTCCAGAAGAATCTCAAGGGCATAACCGGAAATAAAATGAAATAGCTTAGGGACTATAAATAAAACCCAAAAGAGACTATCCAGGATTTAGAGAGGGTTAAACATGAGGTTTTGCTCTCATGGAGATCCAACAGACTAGGGTTTGGTCGTGGTCCTTCTGTGACAATGGCTGCCTTATCTGCCTTGCTTCTCTCTGATAGTAAGCAGATCCGATGATTTATGCCCTCTCTCGGAACCAAAAAGAGAGGTGAAAAAAAAAAAAAAAATCTCTCTATCCGAACTGTGAACCGAACGGGCCCTATATCTCTCTTGTATCTGTGTATATGTGTGTGTGTGTGTGTGTGTATATATATATATTTATGATGAGGCGGTGATGATATTTCAGCCTGGAATCAGGCATTGTGTGTGGGGAGAGGGTCCAGTTACCGGCGGGTCGACCCGGATGAACCGCTGGAAGATGACGGTTTTGTCCCTTTCCAGGCGGCGGCCGGCGATCGGTGCCAGCCATGGTAGCCGCGGTCTCCTCTCTCTTTCTCGCTTTGTCTGAGAACTGGCAAATCTGAGCCTTTGATTCTCGCCCTCTTTCGCTTCCATCTCTTTTATCTTGGTTTTATTTTTTATTTTAAATAAATTATAAATTAAAGTATATAACGTTATTTTCTAAATCGACTCTTTTTTATTTATTTATTTTCAGAATATAATCTGTGTTTTTTGTTTTGAGAGCTCAAATCCGAGCCTCACTTTTGCCTCTTCGTTTCGCTATTCGAGTTTAAAATTTGAGTTTAGATGTGATTGTATGTGAGAAATTTTTATTGTAATAAAAAAATTAGATGTGATTGTTTATGAAAATTTTTTACTGTAATAAAATTTGAATCAGCGAAATGAACGAGGCTTTCATCTTGATCATTTCTCTCTTTCTCAGTTTTTATTTTTAATTTTATGTAACTTGAGTGTAATTTTTTAATTGAATTTGAATTATAATTTGAGTTGAAATTGTAATTTAAATAAAATTAAATAAAATTAAATAAAATTAAAATTTAAAAAAATGTGAATTTAAATAAAATTAAAACTAGAGTTGTTTTTTTTTTTAATTTTTTTTAAACAAAAGAACATAGGAATTTTTGGCTATATAATTATATTTGCTGTAGACACGGACTGTGAAACAATGGGTAAGTTCCCAAATGTCCTTATACTTGATTGAAATTCAGTCTTTGAAGGGAGTTTGGGGGTAAAAAAATGGCACAACTGGAAAAATTACGCAGACATAGTATTAACAAGCACTACGAGGCAGAATTTGTTTCGATAGTTGTAAAATCAAACGTTTTTCTCTGCATTTTCTTGGCTGAAGAATGAAGTGCTACAGCATTGCAGATTGGAATTACTCTACAGAGAATACAAAATTTTTGGGCTCATGCAATTTAATAATTGAGAAAATTGCGAAATAAAACTTAATCACGGTTAAATAGATCAGTCATTGGAAAATTGATATGTGTTTAATCCATCACAAAGAAAATTTTATTGTGTAAAAACAATGAAATAAAATCCCGGCCTTTATCGCTAGAAGCGCAAAAAATACTTGTAGCATTAAATTTAAAAAATCATGATTTATAGTTTGAATTTAGGGTCTAAATTATAATTTTAGAATTAGAATTAGAACTAGAGATTTAAACTATCTAAAATTAATAGAGGAGGTGATTTTATTTTTTAAGGTGGTTTTAGTTTAAAATATCATATTAAATTTTAAATTTTAAATTAGAACTATGTAAATTAAACACTGATTTTTAAGAACTAATTTTTATTTTTAGCAAATAAACAAAAATTTGAACTAGAATTATAATTCTGTTCTAGAATTCTCATACCAAACATAACTTAAAGATTACATAGAAGAGGCGATGAATAGGCATCTATTTTTACCTTTGGCTAGTGCATATTTGATTACTTTAATTAAGAGGTGTTGCTGTGTCTTCACTTGAGATATACAGCTGTCCAGATTTAAATGTTTTTATTAAAAAAATATAGTTTTTTAATGGTTTGTTTAGTCGTTAATTCGAGTTTTTAATTCAAATTGAGATGTGATGTTGTGTGAGAGCTTTTTACTGTAGCAAAAAAGTTAGATGTGACTATTTTTAAAAGCTTTTTACTGTAATAAAACTCAAATTCTAAATTCGAATGAGTGAAATAAACGAGATCGTCTCTAATCTGTACATTTATAACCTCCATACCTCCTAACTCGGGAGTTAGTTTTAACCTCCAGTCTCCATCCCTATATAGCATCTCCTACACCTGTACTATTAGAGACATCTAAAGATAAGATTGTCATTTGTAGCTCTACCCTGCGAGCAACATTTTAAAAAGAAAATTAAATAATAGCATTTTAAAAATAAAATAATTATTTAAAGTTAATTAATTAAAAGGATTAGGTAGAGTAATTATAGTGATTATGATACAATAATTAATGTCATGATTCAAATTAAAATTTGTGATTTATTATAATATTTTTTTTTTATAAAAAATACACATAAATTAAAAATAATTCTGATAAAGTTACAGTAAAAAATTCTCAAAAATAGTCATATTTAACTTTTTTGTTACAGTAAAAATCTCTCACATAAAATCACATCTAAATTTAAATTAAAAACTCAAATCAACGAACTAAATAGGCGCTTAATAAATTGATCTTACAACTTTCCACAGCATTAGCACCTCTGCTGTCCGGGACAAATACGGAATTTCACTTCATCCACAGCTTTACTCTCGTATTCTGAAAATCGGAATTTCGGAGCCACGTCCTCCTCTCGTCCTCTTGGCCGAGCATTTCCCCAATCTGAGTTTCCAAGCCCTAACCAGTAGAGAGAGCTCCAACAATGGTAACAATCCCTTTATCGTGATAATTTTTCTTCTATATTTAGCAAATTTAATTACCGTTTCATAGTTTTGCTTGCAAATTTCGATTTTATGTATCCGGAGCTGCGTTTCCAAATGGCCTTCGAAGTTTGATCTGTTTTATCACGATTGAGTTTCCTATTTTCAATTAATCTTTAGGCCTTTGATCCTGTTATGTCTAAGAAATTTAAAACAATTTCAACTTTTTTTTAATGTTTCATTTTTTAAAAACAAAATGTAAAAAATGTAAAATTCTGCATCTGAGACGCTTATTTTTCTTCAGAGTTTGCAAAATACCTGTTCGTTACGTTCATCTTCACATTTCTAATTTCCATTGCAGTTAGTTTTAACGCAACAATAAAGTATTTCAAATGTGTTAGCTAAATAGAATCATGGGTTGAAGCTATAATTTAGTCTGGCTTCTAAGATTGATTATGAGCTTTCTAGAACCTGGGACGAGCTCGAATTGAGCTCTTTCTGTTCTATTTAGGCCCACTCTAGGAGGTTTCGGACTAAAGTGTATTGGTGAGAAAAATCTACTGCTTTTGATAGTTGATAGAAGCTAAAATAAGTCACGGGCTTCAGAGTGATCAAACGAAATTAGTGCTTCTGTTACAACCCTTTCTAAGCCGATACTTCTAATCACATTGTAGTGAAGAAGTTTCTTATACCGGTTTGGTTAGTAGGTTTAAACAGAAGTTTAAATAGTAATTTCAAATTCGTGTCGTCTTGTGAGAGAAAATACTATAGCAAAAAGGTTTGAATTGTGGTTGAAGAAATGAGACGGAATGGGGTCTTAGTATTTACTCGTTTATTCTTTCGGCAGGATGGACATGACACAGACGACTCAAAGCAGAGCACTGCTGACATGACCGCATTTGTGAGTTCCGTGCAACTCTTATATGTTTCATTTTTTTTTGGAAGAAATTAAATTGAATTTGGAGATAAAGGTAGTTTTTCAGTTTGTTAAGGTTCCTAAGGACTAAATTGAGTGAATGTTAGACATAAGGGTTCTGCGTGTTAAGATTCCTAAGTTTGTGGTTACTTTGCATTAAAAAAAAAAAAAAAATTGTGGTTACTTATTTTTGTGGTCTTGGTAACTTTATAGAGTATATACTGCACGGGTTTTGCTCAAACAATTAGGAGTTGCTTGGGACACTCAGCATGAAGACAAGTTAGAGATCAAATAATGATGAAATTGTGAATTAGTAACTATAAGAAGTAATATAATTCTTTGGGACTTAAGAATCAATTGGAACTTATGAAGTAATATAGTTGTGTCTTGATTTAACCTCGTGGGTTTTGCACTTAAGCATTCCACCTGCCTTGCTTTTCATTATTGTTATGTTTTTATTTACTAAGCAATAAACATAAACAGAATAGTAAAGACCTATAGCTTTCATATGCATGTGTATTTGTTTTTCCATCTCCCTATTGTGAAATAGTATAGTTCTGAAGCAGAACAATTAAAGCCTCTCTCTTTTGCGTTTTTCAGGTACAAAACCTTCTTCAACAGATGGTGAGCTTCTCATATATATTATATTCTCATATATATATATATATATTGCACACACACATATGTATGTATATCTGTGTGTGTGTGAGGTTCTATAATTTTGCTTACTGATGCTAGAGTAAGGATTTAAGCTGATATTGTTTGTATTGTACAGCAAGCAAGGTTCCAGGCAATGTCTGACTCCATCATCACAAAGAATATCCTTTCCTTATTTCATTATTATTTCTGCTTTGATGGATTCATTTTGCTCTATTCCGTTTTCTTAGGAGAATGAAATCATTCAGTTTGGTCCTTGGTAATGGTCGGACGTCATCTCATCATCTTGATTTCGGTAGCATTTTGCTTCTAACTTGTCCCCATTAGCAAAGCATTCCTGAGAAGTGTATGTTTTATCCAATTTCAACCTTTTTTTTCCTTCGTGGATTTTCTCAGTGGGGCATCAAGGTCTTCTGTAGGCTTTGGCTTTACAAATAACATAATATTTGGATTGTTGGAAAGCATGTTGGAAAATTATAATCTTTGCGGATAGCATGATGAAAATTTTATATGATGTGTGTGTTGTATGTGTATTTTATGGTCATACTTTGACGTCTTACTTTTTGTTAGTTATTTGCCGGCTCTGGCTACGGTTTTTGTTTTTATGATATTCAATTTTGAGGTTTTCCACAATGGATTTTGAATTCAAATGTTCGTTTCTCCCCTTCCCTTTTTGATCTCCTTGACTATAGTGCACTTGATGACATGGGTGGTAGAATAGACGAGTTAGAGCAAAGCATCAATGATCTCAAAGTCGAGATGGGAGTGGACGGTTCCCCGTCTCCATCAGTCCCGCCCAAGCCGAAGGTAGAACCCAAGTCAGCCGATGATTCCGCATAAGATTGTTGACAGCACATTGTCTGTTGGTTTAAATTTTCTAGCCCCATAACTCTGAAGAGTCTATTTTTTCTTTTTTGTGGATCCGGGAAGAAAATGCAGTGTAGAAAGAAATATCTACTCAGACGAAGATCAATGTGATTTTATATGAAACATCAAACAAGGAACATGTGATTTCATTATCCGACCAATTTCAGCTGGAAGATTTAGATATTTTTCTTTTCATTATGGGATAGGAATCTTTTGGTCTTTTTTGTGGGTCATACAGAATTTTACCTTCTCTGACTGGCCAACCACCGCTAGATATAATGTCTAAGACTCTGTTCATATCACTGATTTGAGTTTTACTACAGTAAAAAGCTATCAAAAACAGTTATATTTAGGTCTCGTTCATTTCACCGATTCGAGTTTTTAGTTTTAGGTTTTTACAGTAAAAAGCTCTCAGAAAATGTCACATTTAATTTTTTTCTGCTACAGTAAAAAATTTTCAGAAAATGTTACATCTCAGCTCGAATTGAAAACTCGAATCTGCAAAGCGAATGAAGCCTTAATTTTTTTGTTACAGTTAAAAATTTTCACATAAAATCACATCTCAAGTCGAATCAACGAACTAAACGAGTCTTAAATCTTTCAAAATGTCATTGTGTTTACACAGCCTCAATGGCATGTACTATTTGACAAACCAGCCACCAACACCCAAGTGCATTTGGAGAGAATTTATATCAAAGCAATTTACACATATCAACAACTTTGTCACATTATTGTATGTGGAGAACAATTGTGTATCCGTTAGTATTGTTGTGTGGTAAATTGCTAAGTTACGTGAATCTCACGTAACTATTAGGCCCCGTTCACTTCGTTGATTCGAGTTTAGAATTCGAGTTTTTTTACAGTAAAAAGCTCTCACAAACAATCACATTTAACTTTTTTGCTACAGTAAAAAGTTCTCACATAAAGTCACATCTCAACTCGAATTCTAAACTCGAATCAGCAAAGTGAACGGGGCCTCTAATAGGACTCTACTATTAGGATTTCGCAGAAGGCTCCAATTTCAAACTCAGGTTAACAAAGTGGGGTTCGGTGGATTTTAGATATTAAAAACAATATATTAAGCTAAATACTAATTAATTATTTTAACAAATATATAGATTGATTTAGGCCCGTTCATTTCGCCGATTCGAGTTTAAAATTTAAGTTTTGCTACAGTAAAAAGCTCTAAAAAATAGTCACATTTAACTTTTTTACTACAGTAAAAAACTCTCACACAAAATCACATCTCAATTCGAATTATAAACTTGAATAAACGAAGTGAACGGGCCTTAGTTTCTGTCCATAGAATCTCCTGCCGCCTGGTTATGCTTTTCCCCTTCTTTACGCTATAAGATATTCAGATCGTCACATTGTCTTGAAATTATCTCATATTGTGAAAAAAAAAATAACATAAATTAAATATTTAACAGTTTTGGAAAAAATTTTTTTTTACCGCGCAACATTTTTTGTTTTTGAAGGAAAAAAAAAAAAAAAAAAAAGAGAGAGAACGAGGTTTGTGGCCCTCCAAATGGGGGTGGTCCAGAATTCTTGATGTGCAAGTTTATGTTAGTAGAGATGGCACGCCAATGCGACAAAGACACATGGGGTGTGAATGCGATTAGATGTGTCACAAAAGAAAAGGCTAAGAAGATGTGAAGTTGCCACGATGTTGAGATCATTGAGTGCTTTTAATCGTCGATATTGCATAACTGCCTAACATCAACATGTGCGGCTTTGCTTTTAATCAATATGCTTTTTTTTTTCTTTTTAAATACATATATTATATCACTCTCTCTGTCATATATATATATATATATTTTTAATTTAAATAATAATATATTATGTTAATAAAAAGTGATACTTCTCATATATGAATATCTAATCTAAAATTCATAAGGTATAAAGTATTGCCAATAAGAATGAGCTGGATCTTGGGGTTCGTTGGCAGTAGCCGTTTGTCTACCTAGATTTGTATTAGTTTCATTAAAATCTTCGGCTGGAATTTGGATTCTTCCATTAAAAAATAGAAAGAGACGATTTTATGTATGCATTTAATAAAATATAATAATTTAATGAGATTTGTTGATAGGTATTTTTTTATCCTCTTTTTTTTACTAATTTAAGTTTAAAAATTTTTAAAACTCTCAGAAACAGTCACATTTAATTTTTTTTACAGTAAAAAATTCACATAAAATTATATCTCAACTTAAATTAAAAACTCAAATTAATAAATTAAACAATTCTTTTATTGCTTTTAAAGAGAACCTTTTAATAAAAGAAATAAAAATCTATCTAGTCTATAAAATACGTATGAATATATGAGAAATGGGCAATGAAAGATCTATTGGGCATTGAGGTCCCCTCTTATTTGTCTTCATTATTCTTGAAAAGCAAAAGAAAGAGGAGGGACAGTTGTAATTTGTTTGATAGGCAGGACAGTTGTGATAGATATCTCGAAATCTTCACAGCCACAATTTCGAAAGGACAAAACAAAACAAAAAAGTGAAGAAAAGAAAAATGCTTTTTCATCACCAAAAAAAAAAAAAAAAAAAAAAAAAAAGAAACAAAAAAAAAAAAAAAGTTTCTTTTAGATTGGGTTGTTTTAAAAAAGGAGCGTGTTCCAATTAAAAGAACAAATAAAATCAGATTTTATTAATTTTATCAATTTAAATTTAAATTTTAAATTTTATTATAATAAAAAATTTTAAAAAATAATCATATATAATTTTTTTTATTACATAAAAAATTCTTAAATAAAATTATATATCAATTTAAATTAACAAATTAAACCGACCTTTAAAATTGTAAAATTGAGAAAAATTATTAACCTATCTAGTTCGCTATAAAATGAATCAGATTTATATACACTAAAAAACACAAATTTCAAATACCAAGAAATTAACTACCAAAAAAATACAAAGAAATTAAAAAGTTTATAAAAGGAATAAATAAATAAATTCGTGTAATAAGAGCATTACAATGATATAGTCATAATCGAATTTTCTTTTTAAACACTTATTCAAATCTCTTCATCTTAATGTATACAACACACAATCAGCGATCAGATTCGTTCATAATCACCGATCTGATTCGTTCATAGATATGTAATAACAATACTATTAATAACACAAAAAAATAAAAATTAAAGAAGAAATTAAAAAATTAAAGAAAAATAAAAATAAAAAACCACTTTATCTTCTGCAGCGAGTAATGGCACTACAGCCGCGCGAGTAGGGATTGGCCTGGCCGCCAGGTCGGCAGTTGTAGTACGACGAGCCGCGTCGCGAGCAGGGGACAGTGTTCCTCCTCAGCGCACCGTAGCTGATGTACCGCCTCTGCGCTAAGATGCGCCGGTGGCCCTCCGAGTCCATCTCCATCTCCAGCTCCGAGTCCACGTCGGCAATGAGGCACTCCCCAATGGAGCCACGACAGCCGTCCGATCTCGCCGCAATCCAGCTCAATTGGTGGTCGCTGATGAGATCAATGGCCGAGGACGACGCCAGCGTTAGATGAACGGCCAGGATCGCGCAAATCGCCAGGAATGAAAGATGCTTGTTGGGCTTCCCCATTTTTCTGGTTTTTTTTGTTTTTTTGTTTTGTTTTTGGATCATGAGGAGATTTGAGTGAGCGGAGGTTTGGGGGTTATAAGTGAGCGATCGTTCGAAAATGCCATTAGTTTTTGGGATTATTTACGGGAACTGCCACTTGACTCTAACGTGAAACCGTCTTTACTTGTAATCTAAGAATGTCAATTGCTTTGTGGACAGCCACTAATCAGCTTTTGACTTATATTTCCTCTTCTTTCTTTTTTTTTTTTTTAATTTTTATTTATTTTCTCCGTCTCCTTTTACTGAATATATGAATTTTTAATTTGTCTTCTTCTTTCTCTCAAAAGCAAAATACAAGATAAAGAAAAGAGCTTTCTTATTATGTGTTTTCAACAAAATAATAATAATTATAATAATACTAAATTGTCAATAGTGTATATGTATTTGAAGATTAAATTTTGAGCTTCTGATGAAAAATTAACTAAAAAAGTATTCATTCATACTTTATCCAAAAAAAAAAAAAGTTATTTCATAGACCACCGAAGAGAAAGAGACACGTATTGCGCTAATGATGGGGAATTAAACCACAAAAGCCAGTTAATGGACAGCCACTTTGACAATGAGTTGCTGGTTTTGAAATTTTGTGTTCACATTGAGGCAAGTCGTTTTAGGCTATTACACCAAGAGGAATTTGATGTCGTTTACATGGCAAACGACAATGCATCTTATATTATTGTCCTTTAATACACAAATCCAAACGACAATGCATCTTGTTTACCAAAAAAAAAAAAAAAAACACAAATCCAATATATCGTCACTATAACATCGGCAGTGTGTTTTTCATGTTGATGAATGATGACCATTGAGACTTAGCACAGACGACAGCTTTAAAAAAAAAAATGAAAAAGAAAACGCGTTCAAAAGATGTCACTTTAGCTAGAAAATAGAGTAGGACACTGGATTTTCAAAAGGAAATCTAATTATAGCCATATTTGAAAGCACATCCCACAACATAGACCGCGTATGGAAGATGAAAAAGAAAAATGAAAAGCGCGTTTAGAACTCATTTTAAAATAATTTTATTTTTTATATTAAAATAAAAAT